CTTCCTAGGGTGCAACGACTAACACTTGAATTTGCAGCACTACAAAATCAAGTCTGGCGAACCAAGCGATGCTGTAACTCTTTCTCTTTCTTTTCTTAAAAATAAATGCAGAAGCAACAAATGAAGATGAACAGAAAAAAAAAAAAAGAAAAAGAAAAAGAAGAAGAAGGAAGAAGCCTGGAAATTTTTTGATGGAAATGAATGCCGGACGGCCAACTATTTATAGGAGAACTAATGGCTGTTCGAACAAGTACTAAATAGATAGAAACCTGTTCGGACAGATTCAATATTGTTTGGACAAATTCGGTTGGAATACAACAGGTATGAACCTGTTTTGAACCCTTTGAACCTGTTCGAGTGGGTTTGAACCTGTTAAGGATCTGTTTGGGAAAAGGAAAAATTTTGGACCAATTTATTTTGAATTTTGAAAACAAAATAATAAATAAATAAATAAATAAATTACAAATGTTTTTGGCCCAAAAAGAAAAGTATTGGGCTGGACAAGCCCAATCCAACCTCACACCACGCACCCGCGCCCAAGCCCAACCCGCCCGACCAACCAGACGAACGGCGGCGGTCACGCGCGCGCGTGGTTTTTGTTTTGGGTCCAATGGGTCTAGTTCACTTTATCCATAACCCTACCTTTCCACAAACTTGGGTACCCTTTGCGACCCATCCAAAGTATCCCAAGTTAGAGTATATAAAGCCATTCAAAGTCTTAAGCCTTTCTAATGTGGGACAAACACATTTCACAAATGTGTAGAAAACCCATCTAAAGCCATTGCCATGAACCCGAAAATGCACGTTGAATTCTCATTCATCTGGAAATGGTTTTGAGCAACCAAATACACGGTTTTGTTCACTACGTGGCATTAAACATAAACCCAATGAAAAATGTTAAAAATAACGCTTGGGTCCCACGTTAATTAATGCTCAAAGTTAGCAAAAAATAAGGTTTTTCCAAAGTTTTCAAAGCCATTTTCCAACAATCCCTTACATGAATGGAATTCACGACAACAGACATGTAACAAGATGCAGACAAAGAAATAGTACATTAAGAAAATACACCACATCGAGATAGGTAGCTTTTGGCTTTGAACCTCCTCTAGTGAAAGCCTATTGGACTTATTGGCTAACCAGTAGACGCGATGCGTTGAACTGTTCAGCCGTTTGTGTAAGCCAAGATAATAGACTATAAGATAATAGACTACACATAGTGTATCCGCAGACAGTTTGGTTCTTACGGTTGTGTTCATTTTGGCCCTAAACAACGCCTGGTAATTCATGAGTGCTCTAGAGAATTTAGCCTTCTCAATTCTCACAGAACCGGCCCAGTTCACACTCATATAGGTGACATCTTATTAAGAGTATCCTACTATACCTCACTTGCATGTCCAAGCTATAAGAATCATTAAAAGCAAAGCTTATCGTACTAACGTTGCAAGTACCACTCTTTTTATCATAAAAATGAGTAGGAGAAACCCTCTTGAGTGATATGTGAAGTCATCCATAATTCGGTTGTCCCTTTGAACCTAGATCTTGGGATCTCCAGTCAACTAAGTTCGGTTGCCATTATGGCGACTTTTAAGTAATAGGCTTTAATCTCATTCCCCTTGATAAATAGTACACTTGCTCTCTGACTAGCCCTTTAGTCAATGGATCCGCAATATTCTCCTTTGACTTTACATATTCTATGAAAATTATTCCATGTGAGAGCAAATGCCTAACGGTATCATGTCTTCGACGAATGTGTCGAGAGTTATCGTTATACATATGATTCTGTGCCTGTCCTATATCTGCTTCACTATCACAGTGAATGCATATAGCTGGCACGGATTTAGGTCACATTAGAATGTCTTCTAAGAAATTACGAAGCCATTCTATTTCTTCTCCTATTTTATCTAATGCGATAAACTCAGATTCCATTGTCGACCTAGCTATGCATATCTGCTTGGAAGATTTCCAAGAGACTCCAGCACTCCCAGGGTAAAGACATATTCACTAATGGATTTTGAGTCTTTAGTATCTGATATCCAATTTGCATCGTTGTACCCCTCGAGTACTGCTGGATATTTGGTATAATGTAATCCATAATTCTGGGTATGTCTTAGATACCTAAGTACCCTAATTATCACTTTCCAATGATCGGACCCTAGATTACTTGTGTACCTACTCAATTTCCTTACAGCATAGACTAAATCTGGCCTAGTGCAATTCATTAAGTACATCAAGTTTCTGATTATCCGAGAGTACTCTAATTGTGATATGCTTGCACCTGTATTTTTTGGCAAATGAAGACTAATGTTAATAGGTGTTTTAGCAGGACGGTCGTCATGCTTTCCAAAATTTTCCAGAATCTTCTCAACATAATGAGACTAAGATAAAGCATATCATTCAGATGTTTTAGTAATTTTTGTTCCTAGAATTACATCTGCTACTCCCAGATCTTTCATGTTAAACTTTTTGTTCAACATTTTCTTTGTGGATTTAATCATGTCATTATTACTTCCAATAATGAGCATGTCACCCACATAAAGATAAACTATGACATAGCTTTTGTCTGTGCTTCTAACATAGACACATTTGTCATATTCGTTTCTCAAACTTTTCATACCATTATTTCGGAGCTTGTTTTAATCTATAAAGGGATTTGACAAGTTTATAAACCTTTTTCTCTTGGCTAGGAACTTGAAACCCTTTCATTTGTTCCATATAAATTTTCTCATCTAACTCGTCATTCAAAAAGACTATTTTAACATCCATTTGATGTATCTCCAGATTATACAAAGCTACAATCGCAATTAGCATGTGAATAGATGCTATTCTTGTCACTGGTGAATATGTGTCAAAATAATCAAGGCCTTCATTCTGCCTATATCTCTTAACAACAAGCCTAGCCTTGTATTTATCTATTGAATCATTTACTTTCATTTTTCTCTTGAATATCCACTTATATCCAAGAGGTTTACACTCTGGTGGAAGATCCACCAGTTCTCAATTATGATTTTGCAGAATTAATTCAATTTTACTATTCGCAGCCTCTCTCCACAATGGAGCTTGTCTCTTCAGTTTTCTTGCAATGAAAAATGTGTTCGAAAAACGACACATTCCTTGACTCAATAATAGTGTTTACATGCATATCAGGATTTTTAGATCTATGAACTAAAAATCTATATACACTACTATTATTTACGTAGCCAATGAACACACAATCAACGATTTTTGGTCCTATCTTAGTTTTTTTTGGACTAGGGACTGCCACTTTGGCAAAACACCCCTACACTTTGAGGTAATTGTTGGTAGGTCGTTGACCTTTCCATACTTCATAAGGTGTTTGATTAATTTTCTTGTGAG